AAATTAAAGAAATTACATAAAAAATGATAACTTTTAAATAGTTGATTTGATATTAACATTGGTATATATTTTTTTTCAAAATTTTATGATATATTCAAATTTATATTTTATTAAAAAATAAAGTCATTATTGTTTTCTTAAAAACACATAAAACCGTACTATAATATTGACAGAGACAAATAATAAAATAGAACATTGAAATCGAATGTCTTTTTGCATTGCACGAGTATTCTTCTAGTATATATATATATATATATATATATATATATTAGAGAGAGAGAGAGAGAAAGATTAAGGGACCGTTGGGGTCTGTCAGGTGAGTTCTATATGCAGATAAGAATGGACGAGACATAACGAGAGAAAGCGAGGTAGGTGGGTGAAATTTTTTTTGATAAGGATGGTTTAGTAATTTATCAATTTTCTCCTGTCTCCCCAATATTTATTCCACCAACTTTAATAGAATAGATAAAATGCATTTTTGTGTCACTGACGTCTATACTGTCTTGACATCATGAGACAAAGTGTCCCACTAACAACCCTAATGTTTTGATGGAAAAGCCAACTTCTGGTTTACATATATGCTCTCTTTCTTCGTTCGTGAAAACAGGTCCCCTTTCAACAACAGAAGAGGCCCAAACGGAAAGCCTTACGGAGAATTAACCCCACCGGAATCCGACATTTCTTTTGTCAGCAGCGGTAGACCGAGCGTCGACAACTTCAACATGTTTCCTTCATTTGATAGTGAAATGAACGCACGTATCAGCTTCTCGGAACTGGAACAAGATTCGTATCAGATGGGGCGCAGGTCGGCAGATATAAACACCTCACCCGACCTAACCTCATTCGACAGTCCTAGGGCATCTTTATCATCAAATGCGGTACTAAATTCCTTCTTCATATTGGTTTCCTACCTTTCTTGTGTTGTATACTGTTGTCTACCTTTCATATCAAAAAGAAATTAACCGAAAATGGATTCTAAAATCGGGATTTCAGGAAGATGTTGAGGCAGAGATGAGAAGGCTAAAGCTTGAACTCACAAAAACCATGGAAATGTACAGTTCAGCATGCAAAGAAGCCCTTACAGCAAAACAGAAGGTGTCCCAACTTGCTTCTTTTACCTTCATTTGACCTCAAATCCTCGTTTTTTTTAGATAATCGTACTGTTTTTTATCATCCTTTTCATGGGTCTTTGCTGTTGTAGGCTATGGAGCTCCAAAGATGGAAGCTAGAGGAACAACAAAAGGTAGAAGAGGCACGTGTAGCTGAAGAATCTGTTGAGAAAGAAAAAGCAAAAACAAAGACGGCAACGGAGGCGGCTGAAGCCGCTCAAAGAATTGCGGAACTTGAATCCCAGAAAAGAGTTGTTGCTGAGAAAAGTGCGCTGCGAGAATCATCGGAGAACAACGCAGGTTTAATGTCTTTTTCCCGATATAGAAGGTACACGATTGACGAGATCGAAGAAGCAACGGAATACTTCTCGGCCACTCGTAGGATCGGAGAAGGAGGTTACGGGCCGGTCTACAAGTGTCATTTAGACCACACACCGGTTGCTGTTAAGGTTCTACGACCCGATGCAGCTCAAGGTCGATTGCAGTTTCAGCAAGAGGTCGAAGTGTTGTGTTGCATTCGGCATCCTCATATGGTTCTGCTTCTTGGAGCGTGTCCAGAATACGGGTGTTTAGTATACGAGTATATGTCAAATGGAAGCTTGGAAGATTGTCTTTTAAGGAAAAACAAAATCCCGCCTCTTTCGTGGCAACATAGGTTTAGAATCACGGCTGAGATCTGTAGCGGCTTGCTGTTCCTCCATCAGACCAAACCCGAGCCAATTGTGCACCGTGATCTCAAACCGGCTAACATTTTGCTTGACCGGAACTTCGTTAGCAAGATAGCCGACGTGGGGTTGGCTCGGTTGGTGCCAGCATCGGTTCAAGACTCGGTGACTCAATACCGAATGACTTCTGCAGCCGGGACTTTTTGTTATATAGATCCCGAGTACCAGCAAACGGGAATGCTTGGCGTGAAATCAGATGTGTATTCTTTAGGGGTTATGTTTTTACAGATCATAACGGCTAAGCCGCCGATGGCTTTGACTCATCATGTCGATAGGGCTATCAAGAACGGAACTTTTGCCGAGATGTTGGATCCGGCGGTGCCCGATTGGCCTGTTGAAGAGGCTCTAGGCTTGGCTAAGTTGTCTCTACATTGTGCCGAGTTAAGAAGGAAAGATAGACCGGATCTCGGTAAGATTGTCATGCCTGAACTTGAAAGATTGAGAACGCTCGCCGATGAATCCGTGCAATATTCGATATTTTCGCCAGCCAGTCAAGTGTCTTAAGTAAGTTTATTTTATCTGTATTTCTTGACATAAGATTTCGTTAGGACATGTGGAATCCCTTTGAATCCCTCCCTGAAAGAGGACAATGTCTAGATGAACTCGGACTCCACTACCATTTGAACATCATGTCTTGTACTAAGATTATTTGTGAGATTATTAGAAATTTTATCCTAACGGGACGGGATTCTCCGGTTAGATGGATAACGGGACGGGGACTGGAATTTATGTTCATAAGGAAGCGGGGTCGGGGATTACATTACTTGTCCCTAATTATAAATACTAACTTAATTAAAGAATGAGTTACATTAGTGGTCCCTCTAGTATGCTTAAATTTTGAATTTGATCCTTAAAATAAGCTATCTATACTGATGATCCCCAACGTTTCCATTTCATAACATTCAGGGTCCTTGAGATTAACACCATCAGTTAGCAACTGTTATGAAAGACTAATCAATTTTTGGGCAAATTAAAAGGACCAAAATTTTAATTATCTAAAAAAATTATAAATCACGTTTTTTTAAATTATTTTTGGAATCATGTTATTTTACCAAAAATTACTAAAAAATATTACTTCTACATCTGCAATTACAAATCAAATTTATTATACAAATGAACATATTAAATTAAAAAATTATATTTATTTTAAATCAAAATTACAAACGTTTTCTTTATAGTTTTCCGTGTATTTACCATTATTCTTATGGAATTAGATAATAATTTTTTATTAATTGTTAAATAATCGATATTTTTTAATCTTAATTTATAATTTGTTTTTTTAGTTTGTTATTATTTTAATTATTTATATTTTGATTATATATTTTTAGTTTTTAATCTTAATTTAGAATCTGTATTTGTAGTTTGTTATTATTTTTAATCTTAATTTATAATTTGTACTTTTAGCTATCAAACTGGACAATTGTTCCCAAAACTCATTGAGTTAAAAACCAAGTCAGAAGGCCACGAAAACATTTGACTACTTTAAATAAAGCCAAGGTGACCACATAAGTCGATAAGTGAAATATGTGAAATATGTAAATCTCATCAAATATTCAACACATTTGATAAATATCAAGTAACAATCTTTATGACTTCAAAATACCCATTTTTGACATGTATAAAGTTTTCACAAAGCAACTTAAACTCACCTTGCTAGATTTAGACTAAATCTAGGTTTTACCCAAATCTTGAGTTTCTTTTAAAGAAACTTGAGATCTACAAGTAGATCTTCCAAATCCTGACTCCAAAACTTTTGAAAAGATCCTCTCCGCCACTAGGAACCCAAAACCTAAGAGAAAAATGGAAATGACGGTTGGACATGAAGAACACACACAAAACCCTAGTTTACAAAGGAAGGGGATGAGATGATTACCTTAAAAAATACTCTAGAATCCTCCAATGAAGTTTAATCCTCTTTATCTAGTATTGAATAGCTTCAAAAACCTAGAACATAGCAAAAAGAATTGTCTAAATCAGAGTTCAGATGAGGAAGATAAGAGCAAAATGAAGAAACCCTAAGAAAATCAGCTTTTAAGTAGCCCAGATGACAAATGCGAGTTTGATGAGGGTTTACCAGCTTCAAAGTCGGCCAGATGGTTCTCAAACATGGCACAAACAGTACCAAATGCGACCCTGATGCGGGTTTAGCCGCATAGCACCCATATTTCACTTTGTTTCTCATCCCAAAACCCATTTTCTTGAGTTTAATGCATTACCAAACATCCCACATCTAAGTTGCTCAAGGGCAAGCAAATTTAATACCTCGAGAAAGGGAATACATATAATTTCTAACCTCGTCAAGATAGTTAAATTTCAGGTGTTACATAGGGTGTGCTTTAATCACATCCTTTTAATGAGTTGGGATCATGTGAGATCAAGGGTTTTCGTGAGACATATAAGACTAATTTTCAACTCTTGGATTAGATATACAATCTGACAATCTGAATATTCATAAGCGTCATGAGACTTCTCAATAATCACAAAATTGTCACCGTGCAACTTTAGACCATTAGATAATTAGCTTATAAAGTTGATCAATGAACATAAATTGGTCGTACGGGTCTCACGAAAAACCCTTGATCTTACGTGAACCCAACCGTCCTTTTAATCCTTCAAAGTTTATTTAGAGTTAAAAAGATTACTTTAGATGGAAAACAAATGTTCATTTTAATAACGTGTTCGTCGATTTCTCTTATATTAATAACTTGTTCGTTCATAACAAAATATTGTATTTATACGTCGATAAAAAATCCGTTTTTGACTTCTAGGAAAAAAGATATTATCAGCAATCAAGTGGCATGCATCCAACATATTTATAGCTACGATTTTTCCACAAAGTGGTGACAAAATCGTTAACTTGTACAAATCTACGGTGGCTATTTGGTCAAAAGTCCTTAGGCAAGCTTGCAAGTTGCAGACCATTTATGGGTCTGAATCTAGGTATCGCCAAAGCACTTGTAGCCATGAAGGTTTATCTGTTATGACTCCAGTCTTTTGTTTTTTCCAGAAATCTGCCGATGCACCAAAGCTGGTTTAGAAACCCCTTAGTTACCAAAAAAAAGTTGCAAACCAACTTATAATACAAAATCTAATCAACTTTTGGTAGATAAAAATGTTTATTTGACCTTTTTACTTAAAATGAGTTAATATTGCTTAATATTTTATTTGTAATGGGTGAAATGAATAAAATTAAAAAATATTTAAAAAATATAGATAAATGATGAACATGTCAAAAATTGTTTGTTACAATATTTTTAAATTGTTTCATTAAAAAAAATACTAGAAGGCTACTTGTGCAATGTAGTGAAATAAATCTCGATTTTAATTATTAATTTTTATTCTTTGTCTCTATCGATATAATACGATTTTATATGGTTTTGAGAAAGCGATAATGTTTTTATTATTGAATGAAATATAAATTTGAAGATAGCATAAAGTTTTGAAAAAAATAAATTAATTTAATTCAGATTTAATAACAAAGTATTTATTTTTTGTTTAACAATATAATTTTTTATAAAGATAATAATTAAACATTCTGTTAGTTAGCTATAATTATCTTAATTATACTTTATAATTTTTATATTTAAAATTGATRTTTATCCTATATTTGATTATGTTTATCTGCAATTAGTTATACGAATTTAAAAAATAGAGCTTTAATAAGTTGTATTTACGCAAAATTAAATGTAATCTTGAATTTTAAGTAATGTACATCAATAAATTTGTACTTCATGCATAAAAAATAATTTTTAAATTTTTTTGTCAAAATTCTTTATAATATAATATAAATAATTTTTTAAAAGATAATAATTAAACATTTTGTAAGAACTTGAATATTATCTTAATTATATTTTAGATTTTCTATATTTAAAATGGATGTTTATATTGTACTTGATTATGTTTATCTACAATTAGTTACACAAATTTAAAAATGAAGCTTTAATAAGTTGTACTTATACAAAATTACCTGTAATGTTGAATTTTAAGTAATTTGCATTAATAAACAGTACTTTATACATAAAAAATGGTTTTTAAATTTTTTTGTCAAATAATTTATAAAATAGTATAAATATTTTTTATAAAGATAATAATTAAACATTTTGTTAGAACTCAATAATTATCTTAATTGTATTTTAGATTTTCTATATTTAAAATTGATGTTTATTCTTGTATTTGATTATGTTTATCTGCAGTTAGTTACAAAAATTTAAAAATGAAGTTTTAATAAGTTGTACTTACGCAAAATTACTTGTAATACTGAATTTTAAGTAATGTGCATCAATAAACAGCACTTCATGCATAAAAAATAGTTTTTAAGAGTTTTTGTCAAATGATTTATAATATAGTATAGATTTTATTATTTTAATAACATAATTCACGCCTAATATATTATTTATTTATATAATTTAAAAATAGAATAAAAAATGAATTCACCCAATTCGATTCATTTTGATGTAAATTAAAATCTTATAGGGGTTGTTTGACGGATACTGAATGATTTGGTGCAAAATGATTAAGTGGTCAGAATTATGAAAAGACTCTCATGATATAGTGCAAAATGATATATAATTGTGTGGTAATTGTTTACAATGAAATTAGGGTGCTGAATGATTAAGTGAGACATATGATACAAAATCATTTAAAGGGTTTTAGAACCATTAAGAGGCATATTTTTTTTTTTGTCAAACAAGATTTATCCCTTAAAAATTCAAAAAACTGTCTTTTAATGAAACTATTAAGAGTTAAACAAATAACCCTTCAAAATCATAAGTAGATTAAATCAGAAATTAATCACCAATATGAGTTTGTGACGTATCAATCTTCCAAAAATGGATTCACTCAAAAAAAATGTTTAACTTCATTTGGCAAATCAAGTTGGATTGAACGTCTTTTTACCAAATTTTAGACTTGTTTTTTCATTAATTATATAAATATATTATCTATACTATATTATAAAGCATTTGATAAAAACTCTTAAAAATCATTCTTTATGTATGAAGTATTGTTTATTAATACATATTACTTAAAATTTAAGATTACAAGTAAATTGTGCGTAATAACACTTATTAAAGTTCCATTTTTGAATTCGTGCAACTAACTGCAGATAAACATAAACAAATACAGGATAAACATCTCATTTTAAATATAAAAAATCTAAAATATAATTAGGATAATTATTGAATTCTAACAAAATCATTATCTTTATAAAAATTATATTGTTAAGCCAAAAATAAATTATTTCGTTATTAGACCTAAATTAAATTAGAATAAAAATTTGAATTAAAGAAATTGTACAAAAAAACGAGAACCTTTAAATAGTTAATTTGATATTCTAGATTTGTGTAACTAACTGCAGATAAAAATAATCAAATACAAATAAACATCTCATTTTAAATATAAAAAATCTAAAATATAATTAGGATCATCATTGAATTCTAATGAAATACTTAATTATTATTTTTATAAAANAATATTAAATCTAGCTGAAAAACTAGTTAAAAATAATAATAAAAAAATATGTTAAAATAAGCCAAATCACTGATGTACTTTATTATATCAAAATAATTATAATAAAAATAAAGGTTTTTTAATTGTATAGAGTTAATGGACAATCTTTACATTTCATAAAACTCTTTAAGCAATGCTATTTTCTATGTAATTTTTCTTGACGCTCATTCTTCAGCCATAGAGAGACTTCTGAATTGCGAGGTACAATTAGGCTAACTGGGGAATGGGTTGAGTAAAGTCCCCTGGGGCCGGAGCTCTTTCGTCTAAGCCTAGAACTAGGCAACTAGAAGCCACTTTCTTATTACTAAGATAGGGGGTCGGGTGGCCTTGGCCCACAAGCACCCAACAGCTTCGTGGATGGGAGGAGTGCAAGAGCTGAGCCGCACACTCTATGCTTTTCCCCAGCCGATTATAAGTTCTCGTTGACCACGGCCTATAAGAACCAGGCATACTAATATCTCTCTCATTCGTTCTAGATCCAACTGGAAAAAAAACCCTTTGCACCAGAGAGAAGTTAGCTGGCGGGTTCTTGTTTTCATAATTGAATTTCTCGCATCTCATAACGTGACCCTCACATGTATCATGACTAAAACTTTGTGTGTCATCCAATTCTTCAATATGTACTAATTCACATTCTTTTAAGTAACGTTGAAAATCATATCATTGACGATAAAATTTCAATTTGATTATATACGTAATGCTAGTGAAAGAAGCAAAGTAAATTATAAACTAAATTTTAAACAGTATAATATGTCGATAAGATTATAAACATAGTATGATTTATTTAAGAAAATTATAGTGATCAAATTATTTTTCTAAAATGAAATATATCATGAAAAATATATATATATATATATAATATCAGTTGATAACGTACAATCTCATAAATAAAATAACTAAACATATACATATATTAATATACGTATATGTCTGGTTTTTAGTAATATAAAATAACAACTGGTTTAATTATTTAAGATACATATAACAGAAGAAAAAGACGATACAACTGCATCTAATCGTCGCATTCTGTTATTCTATTTTTGTTGTACGATCTCACATTTTGAAAGCAAATAGTTTGGGGACCAAAGTACTTTCTTGAAGTTATTTAAAATTTAATTTAATTTATATTTAATATTTTAAAATTATTAAATAAAAAAAGGGCAAATTAGTGATGAAAAGTAAATGAAACCCACCAAAAGAGTCCGGTTCGATCATTATCTAACTTTTGGGACCACCTTCACATGGACCCAACCCTCAAATCCTTGAGCCCGGTCGACACATGGTTTCAAGCAGCCAGGTGATTGGGTTTGAGTTGCAAAATTGATTTTTAATAAAATAGTTATTTTAATTCAATTATCTATATTATATTATATTATATTATAGAAAAATTAATAAAAAAATTTAAAAACCATTTTTTTGTGTATGGATTATTGTTCATTAATACATATTACTTAAAATTTAGATTACAAATAAATTGTGCGTAAGAACAATTTATTAAAGCTTTATTTTTGGATTTGTGTAACTAACTGCATATAAATATAATCAAATACATGATAGACATCTCGTTTTAAATATAAAAAATCTAAAATATAATTAGGATAAACGTTGAGTTCTAACATAATACTTAGAGGGTGTTTGGGATTGCTTATTTAAAACAACTTATGTTTTTTTTGTAAAAGTGTTTATTAACTTATATGGTATCAAACCGGAGTTAAATAAAACATGGTTAAAATTGTAAACTGGTAATAACCAGTTTTTCATAAGTCATGAAGGATTAACTTATAAAAAACAGTTTATTACCGGTTTGGCACCGGTATAAGCAGTTTTTTTCTTATCCAAACACCAGAAAACAGCTTATCACCGGTGTCAGACTGAAATAAGTTAAAAAACAGCTTTTATAAGCAATCCCAAACATCCCCTTAATAATTATCTTTAAAAAAATATTATTAAAAAATTAATTACTTCTATACTATATTATAAAGTATTTGATAAAAACTTTTAAAAACTATTTTTTATGCATAAAATATTTCAAATTCAATATTACAAGTAAATTGTTCGTAAATACAACTTATAAAAGCTCTATTTTTAGACTTGTGTAACTAACTGCAGATAAAAATAATCAAATACAAATAAACATCTCATTTTAAATATAAAAAATCTAAAATATAATTAAGATCATCATTGAGTTTTAATGAAATTATTAATTATTATTTTTATAAAAAATTATATCATTAAACCAAAAATAATTTATTTCTTTACTAAATCTAAATTAAATTATAATAAAAAATGAATAAAGAAATTACACAGAAAAAGAGAACTGTTAAATAGTTAATTTGATATTAATATCGATAATGTTTTTTAAATTTTTTATAATATCCTTAATTTATATTTTATTCAAAAATAAAAAAAATTGTCGTTTTCTCAAAACCATATAAAACCGTATTATAACGATATATACAAAGAATAAAACAAAACATTAAAATCGAGATATATTTCACTATAATACACGAGTACCCTTCAAACTTTTATGATATCTTCAAATTTGTTTTTATTCAAAAGTAAAAACATTATCTTTCTCAAAATCACATAAACCGTATTACATCAATAAAGATAAAAAATAAAAAGATATATTAAAATGAAGATGTATCTCGTTGCATTGCACGATTATCCTTATAAGTTATAAAAAATAAATATTAATTAAATTAATAAAATCCGATATATATTCTAATTTAATTGGTGGAATATAATAAAAAATAAGATTTTGATATCATTATACAAATCAATGGATTTGAATTAATAAATTTTTAATAAATAAAAATTTAATATGTTTTAATTTATTTATGCACGAAACTAAGACGTGTTGGTTGCAAATCATCATCAGAAATTCCAATACCCCATCCAATTAATAATTAAGACGTGTTAAGGAATCAACAAAAGTTGACTTTTTTTTTTTTGGAATCCATCGGTAATTTCTTGATGAAAAGTCTGCCAGAAAAATCCATCGGTAAAAGCCTTTTATTTAGTAGTGTGTTGTAGGCACCTCCAAGTTTGATTAAAACGAGCCACAATCCATTAATTTTAAAACTAAATTTTGGGGAATGTTTACTATCCGTTAACTGATTTCTTCTTAACGAATAGTCTGGTAAGAACGGACGTTTTTGTTAACATACTCTGACCTACAAATATGCTTGCCCAGATATTGACAAGGAAGGAAGAGGTGATGTCGTGACTCGGTCAGTACAAGCAACCATTTAATTTTCGATAAATATTTATCCCGTACGAACCTACTAAATAGACCCGTATTCCTACTCGACCATCGTTTACCTAATTTATGTTTTAAAAAAATGAACCCTTGAACCATCAAACTTGCACGATTGATACAAAAACCCATTATTTGACAAATTAAATACCAACAACAATAAATATGAATATAAATTAATTACATTAAAAAGTAGAATCTAAACACGAATGAAGACTCCAACACGCAAAATCATTATTTTGTGAATTGGATAATTGATTTCGTACAGTACACGATCAAGTTTATTCACATTAATTACATCTGTTTGAATCCAATAACTGTATTAATTACAACAATCAACATCATCATCATCTTTCATCTCCATCCCAATATTCTTTCATTTTAGGTCCAGTTGGTCCATCTTCTTCATAGATTTCACTTGGTAAAACCTCCATCAACCCTTCAATGGCAGATTCCACAATCCCAGATGTCGAATCCTGCAACTTCTCAAGCTCAATTCCGATCTCATACGTTATTTTCGGACCCCATTTTCTTGTGTAGTTCAACCATGGTGGCTCGATTACGGAAGTTATGTAATCGGCCGCCATGATTGAATACTTGGTTCCTACGTCCAGAAACATGTCACTTTTTGCGGTATCGTTTCTTAGCCCAACCACATTGGTCCCTTGGACCACAAGTCCTGGAGTCGGGTACGATGCATGGCCATGCAACGACGAATACCCGACTAATTTGTTGGTTCCGTTTTGGAACTCGAGAGATGGGGTATCGACCCACATCCCGCCACTATGTTGTGCGAAATAAACACGATATAATCCGCCATTAAAGTTGCTGATTCTGAGAGTCATGTGTTCCCAATCACCTATATGTTCTCCTATCCTGCCTAAAGGAACATCAATGAACCCTAATTTGGCAGTTGCAGGTCCATTAAAAGGGTAGAAAAACCATATTGCTATATCAGTAAATGTTCCTCCTAACATTGGTTTGATGTGGATATAAGCCTCACAAGTTTGTAGGTCTCCTTTCTTGACTCTATCTCTTTCTGTTTCGTTAATTGGAAGGTCGAGCCAGTATGTGCCATCGTTCGAACCACCTTGAGGTAGGTTCGAGCCGGTGGTTTCAACCGGAATAGGGTTTGACTCGTCTCCTATGTGGTACAACAGAACCCCATTGCTAAAATACCAAGTAGTTGAAGATGGAAGGTAAGTTTCACTAGGGTGGAAATAGATTCTTGGAGAGTATTCTTGAATTAGGGTTTCGATTTGTGGCAAGTTAGGCATCGAGGAGGACGATACCGAATCGAAGTTATTGTTCTTTAGACACGACGATATCGAATTAGTTTCGTTATCGATCGTGAATGAACCTACACTAACCCCTTGGGCTTGTGTTCCTCTAAGATTCGGTCTCGAGCTATAAACATTAACACCGTTATCTGCACCCCACAATAACACGTCTGGTTCGCATTCATCGGTCAGGTCACCGCGAACACACCGGATTTTATCGAGCGGGGGCTTTTCTGGTGAGGAGGTGATGGCATAACCTACCGGTTGATACCCATCTGGTGGTGTTGGCAACCAAATGTAGCAAGAATCAGTGACACTTAAAACTAGAGTATAGTCCAGTGGAGTGGCTAGGGTTCCACCGGAAACATCTTTTCCGGCCAGAACCCAACCGAAAAGTGGAGTGTCATTGGTTTGGCAATAACAGCCAAGCATGGAAAACCCATCTGGTAATGGAAATGGCTCAAAAAATGTGGCACCTCCATCTTCAGAACTGGACCAGATTTTGGTGAAAGATGTTATTTGACGAACTTCAAGTCCTCCAAGATCAATGGTTCCGTTTGCAAAACCTTCACCTGTGTTTATTTGCATCATCCATCAACCAACATACATACATACATGTGTGTATATTTCAGGGCAAACCTCAAAAATATAAAAACTCAGTAACACACCTAACCATTCATATCAACGATATGCACATCTGCATTAAAGTAATCGAAGTTGTTTTCTAGCTTTTATGCACGTGTGTATACCGGACAAATTGTTATAAATTACTTGTATGCACATAAACCAGTTAAGAAAACACGAAATCGGCCAAAGAGCAAAATCATATGTGATTTTACACTCACAGTCAACACAAAGGTGTGCAGACTAACCACAAAGGTGGTGCCTGATTGGTTTGAGCTTGGCTCCAAATGTCAAAAGTACCAGGAGGTCCCAGATTCAAATCCAAGGAGGAATAAAAATCCCCTTGTGGCCACGGAGGTTCAAATGCGGTGATTCTGGGCCATCTGCAAAGCAGGTGGTCGCCATGGGATTAGTCGGTTCGCATAGCGGGTTGGATATTCAGGTTAATAAAAAAAAGTTGTGCAAACGACGTGAAGCGTGACCTCATGTCATGGTCAAAGCCGTGTGAATCAAATGTGAGTTTACACGTGATTTTACCTTTCTACCCGTCTCTCTCTATATATATATAGGTATATATATATGTATATATATATAAATATATATATATATATATATATATATATATATATTCTTGGTACATATGGAGAGTAATTAAGTTAAAAGAAGAGGAATGAAAAAGATGAAGAGCAGATTGAGGAACCTGGTGGCCAAGAAGGTAATGGAGAAGCAAGTTGGAAGTTGGTATCAATGGGGAAACTTTTGATTTCTTTTGTGTTAGTGAAGCAACCCAGAAAGTTTCCCATTTGTTTGGCAGACTAAATTATCTGCTATACAATGCATATATATATATATATATATATATATATATATATATATATATATATATATATATATATATAGAGAGAGAGAGAGAGAGAGAGAGAGAGAGAGAGAGAAAAGTAGCATATTGCGAATATGCTTGGTTGATATTGAGTTTTAAATGAAACGTTTGCAAGTTATGTTTACTATATTATCGATATGATATTGATGGTTGAACACATCGGCATCAAAGTCTCAACATACTTCATTTACTTGTAGCATCCTCACATATCTATTCATAGTATTCCAACACATGACCGCAAATTGTAATACACCTCCTATAGACTACAACGTAAGGTCAAAAGTATCAGGAAGTCTTAGGTTCAAATCCAAGGAGGAATAAAAATTAAACCTATGTATACAGTATAATGTATATAGTATAATTATTTGCATCATACTTACATAAACAAAAAACCTATGTGTTTGATTTGATAGAATAGTTTTAAGATATCTGGATTTCGTGAAATGATTTGAAATTGAAGGAATTTGGTTTTGAAATCTTTGGGTTCGTAGGATTTGAAATGTTTTTAACATATTTTAAAACATTATTATATAAAAATCTCTTGTGGATTCTAATCATTTCTAGGATATTAAATCCAGAAAATCTTCTAATCTAAACATATGATTGGAATAGAATAGAATTCAATTCCAAATACCTTTAAATTCATTCTAATCCTACAAATAAATTCCCACCCACGCTACCATCCGTTCGTTAGGTCAATGACTTCTTAACAACCAATCAAATGTGAATCCCTAACTCGGTCAAATATAGAATTAAACCGATTTTCGAAAGACTTTTTTAAATATTCATCAATGTCCCGAAAAGAGGTACCCTGAAATAAATAATTGTTCCAATGGAACCTTCTCTTTTACCGTAGATTGACGGATAAAATGAATAGTAACAAAAAAATTTTATTTATCTTTTTTATAATATTAGAAAATTCCTTCAAAATAAAATTAGCTTTTGATTTATTTTTTAAAAACCAACTTCTAAAATATTCGTTTCAACCTTGCGTTTGGTATGCAGACTACATGGGACAGAATGAGACAAAAAAAATAGTCTCATGTTTGGAATGCCATGGACAAAAAAAACATGGGACAAGGTAGGACTATTTTTTATTTTAATGGGACAAATCTTGATCTTTCTTGTTCCACCAAAAAAGGTGGAACAATGTGAGACTAAAGTTAAAATGATAATATTTTGGTTGATTTGTTGTCATTTTACAATCATTATATGATATAAAATAATATTAAACAACATTTAGGGGTAATATGGTCATTTTAATAGTTTTGTCCCGTCATGTCTTAGTCGTACCAAACATAGGATAGACAATTAGTCATGTTCCGTCCCGTCCTGTCCTGTCCCGTACCATCCCGTCCAGTCTGCGTACCAAACACTACCTTAAGGCCTTAGGTAAAATCCTGCAAATACTCGGAGTCTAGTAACCGGTTGACATGGCAGAACATGTGTAACAATTTTATGCCACGTCACATTTTAAAATGCCACGTAAGCATATTACATGGCAAAATTATGATGTTAGAATTCCGATCTTTCTTCTTAATTCTTCATCACCTTCAATCATCCTTCGCCTTCATCACCGCAAGCAAACACACTTGTATATTGTTTGTTTATATATATAGGGAATAGGGTTGAGTTTCGATGAAAATGAGAGTTAAGGTGAAAAGTGTAAGAAGGGATCTCCACATTTGAATGTACATTAAGGGGCTGTTTGGCAGTTGCTGAATGGTTTGGTGCAGAATGGTTAAGTGGTCAGAATGGTCAAGAGGGTCAGAATGGTTAAGTACTGAATGAAATATGGTTGTTTGGTAAATATTCTCTGAATGACAACAAATTACTATTTTACCCCTCTATATGATTTAATCCAAACCAAGGTTCTGTTAGCATCCAAAATGAACGGCGACGGTAGTTTCAATCCGTCAGAATGATCGGCGATGATTTCATACAGAAAATGAACGGCGATGGTAGTTTCGATCGGCGACAGTGCTTCTTTAATGTTTTTAGCCTTGATTCAACATGAGATTTCATACAAGAAATTAGGACTTCGATCGGTGACTATGGTTTCAATCGGTGACTGTGGTTTCGATCGGCGATGATTTCATACAGAAAATGAACGGCGATGGTAGTTTCGATCGGCGACAGTGCTTCTTTAATGTTTTTAGCCTTGATTCAACATGAGATTTCATACAAGAAATTAGGACTTCGATCGGTGACTATGGTTTCAATCGGTGACTGTGGTTTCGATCGGCGATGATTTCATACAGAAAATGAACGGCGACGGTGGTTTCGATCGGCGACTGTGGTTTCGATCGGTGGTTTCGACCAGAAAATGAACGGCTACTGTGGAGACGAAGACGATGGAGGCGGAGACGATGAAGACGATGGAGACGGCGACGATGGAGACGAAGACGATGGAGACAGGGACGGAGATGGTGGAAGGACGGAGGCGACACAGCAGCGGGCAAAAATGGATCGATCGATTGGAAGGAGGAGAGGAGACGAGACGAGACGAGATCGATTGGAAGGAGGCGACACAGCAGAGGGCAAAAATGTCACCAGATCCCTCTGAATCGTTGAGGGGAGCCCTAGCCCCTAAATGGTTAAGAGGCTTTTGTCACCATTAAGATGTCCTTTTTTTTTTGCCAAACAACTCTAGCCTCTTAGCGATTAAGAGGTGTCCTCTTAATGTCACCATTAAGAGGCAACCAAACAGCCCCTAAGATGAGATGTACTGGATATGATCAATACTCGTATCAAGCGTGATTCATTTGTCGGTTTGAAATTAAATGTAATCAATGGTTCGGATACATTTTTACGCTTCTCATCTTAACTCTTATTCTTACACGATCTTTCACCTCTCTCTCTCTCTATGTAAGAAAGATCATATGAGAATGGAAGTTATGATGAAAAGTGTAATAAGAGATTTGGACCCATGATTACTTTTAATCTCACCCCACCCCAAGTGTTGCGCTTATCACGGGAACTGATCATGTACTCTAGGTGCACCACCCTAGTGTTGATCTTCAATTAGAATTGATCAAGTAGTGGAGATCCCTTCTTACCATTTTTTATTAGAACTCAATCTTATATATATGTGTGTGTATTTATGTTACGGAAAGGATAACAACGGAATGGGGTTTTATTGATGTTTAACTAGGTCTGGAAATAAGGTGGGTAATACTCCCGTCGCGACAGGTTTGGTGAACCCATTGGATTCTATTGGAAGGATACTCGCATAATGTAGCGAGATGAATCTCGATTTTAATATTTAGTTTTTATTCCGTCTCTATCGATATAATATGATTTTATGTGGTTTTGAGAAAAACATAATGTTTCTATTTTTTTAATGAAATATAAGTTTAAAGATAACATAAAATTTTAAAAAAAATCGATATTAGTATCAAATTAACTATTTAA